GTTTTCTGTGTCTCTGCTTTGCTGTTTGCACCACAAATCTCTCTCCTCCGCCAAGCTGTGGACTGTTGCTTGTAGACGTCTTTTGACGATCCTTATTTTTCCTTTGCAACCTGCAGTCTCTCTCACCTTTGCCTGTCTATGCACCACTTGATTGTGCACTGCTTCCCAGAATATTATAAGTAACAGTCATTGCAGATGCTATAAATTTCTTCTCCTCTCATCTACTGCTGTCTGCTTCCATTACTCAGGATGAGATTCTCTTCTTGTAAGACTACAAAGCTTGCAAGTAGCCAATCTAAAAAGAAAAAGCTTCACTTTTTTCTGAAAAAATTCAATTTGAAGGAAAAAAAAAACAAAGAATCAAAGTTGTTTTTACAATAGTCAGTAGGGAGGTCAACAGACCAATGATATATCAACATCACCACTATAACTAGTTAAACTATTCTCTTATTTTCTAATATTACTCATTGATTTGCCAATTTAACTTCCTCCATGAGAGAGCATTCAACATTGTATGGCATAGTTCGTACTCCTCAATTTGAAACTTACAGGTCTGCTTATGAATCTAAATGAACACTGAGCTTAAGTGACAAGTTGTTGAGTTGTCATTTACAATTTATACAAGAAAGCTTACACTCATATTGTCCATACATTGCTTACACGGAGGAAAGATGGTATTGGAAAATGCATGGCGATAATCATGCAACCACCATCAAGTATAGATTTTCCATATCAAAAGAGCAGTATAATAAATCCACGTTGGGCTAAGAGATGAATGAAAGACAAAAAGCAAAATAAATGATGGCTTATATGAATGGTTAATCATACTATTTGGTCCACCTAATGCCTCAAGTTCCTGCATGGGTTTCATGAATCAAGTGTTTCAATCTTTAAATAGGGGATTATTTGTTAGAGGTGTTCAACTATCTAGAATTGAACGATCCAATCATTGAAAGTGGAAAAAAGTCTGGACCGATGACTGAATTATTCTCAGTTAATTCAGTCCAATACGGGCCAGAAAAATTTATTCTAGTCCATTCCAAACTGATATAGGCCATTTTTTATTTTTTATTCTTTTTTCAAATATGTCTATTTTAAAAATTAATAAATTACAAAAAAATAAATACATATATATATATTTGAATTTGATCTTTTATTTTTTTAGTTTTATCTTTTTTTTTATATTTTGACCAGTTCAGACAGAATTATTGGTCATTAATCTCTTGGATTGAGGACCACCACGTACATGGATCGGTTTAAACCAAACATACCATGTTCACAAAGCATAGAATAGGTAAGAAGATAGCTATTCTCATAGTAAATGTATACCACATGATTCTAACTAGAAATGACATAGCTAAGATGGAACGGCTAAAAAGGAACCTCACATAGGAGTTTGAGATTAAGGACATTGTGTCATTTAAATATTTTTTCTGGAGTGGAAGTAGGATGATCAAAGAAAGGAATTTCCATCTCAAAAAGAAAATATTATATTTGCCGTTCATCTAAATAAAAAAAGTTGAAGAGAAGAAGGGCATTCTAGTGGATACATCACAGTACAAAAGCTAGTTGGGAACTTATTTACTTGTTTGATACTCTGCCTGATATTATATTTGCCGTAAGCTTTTTGAGCCATTTTATCCATTTCCCTCATGAAGAACACCTTGAAGTTGTATGTTATATCTAGGTACTTGAAAAGCTCACTAGAAAAGGGTTTATTCTTCAGGAAAAATGAGTAGAAAAGCATAGAGACATATACAAAAACAGACTGGGCAGGCTTAATCACTGAGAGGAAATCAAAACATCAGGTTATTGTACTTTTGTATGGGGAAACTTAATGACTTGGAGAAATAAGAAAAAAAAGTAGTTGTTAGGAGTAGTGCAGGAGGCTGAATACCGATCAATGGTTCATAAGGTTTGTGAGATGATGGGGCTAAACAAGTTTGAAGGGACTAAAAAGTCCAATGACCATGCCTATGAAGTTGTATTATGATAATAAGACTGGTTATTAGCATCACACACATTTTAGTTCAACATGACAGAACAAAGCATGTTGATATTGACAGGCACCTTATAAAGGAAATGCTTGAAGCAAGAATTATTTGAATAACATTTGTCCCAAATTACAACAAATGATTGGTACTCTCACAAAGGGACTTTTGAGATGTAACTATGAATTTCTCATCAGCAAGTTGGACATGATAGATATTTATGTATCAATTTGTGGGAAAGTGTTGGTTAGTCGGGAAAATTTGCCAAGATTAATATTCCTAATTACTTAGAGATTAAATTCTGATTTTTTGGGATATGAATTTCAGGTATCTTTAGACAAGAAAATATTTGAAATCACTATATCTAGTTTAGTCAAAGTTTATCCCTTAAATCAAGGGTTACTTTTTTTCTTTTAAATCGGAGATTTTTTGTCATTTCTCTTTATAATTTCTAGCCTCTTCAATCCATCAAAGCAGTATAAGAAATTCAGAAAACTTCTTCTGAACTTTCACAAATTTATTTGAGTAGGATTTATACTTATTTCTCCACAGTCACGTCAACTTATCTTCTTAAGAATGGAGAGCCATAATGACATTGCTGATTTTAAACCTCGGTTGAACTTTCTTAAGCTCAGTTGAAATTTAGTTGTTTCCAACTTTGGGGAAATTTATGATGTCACTCAGTAGAAACCTCTGAAAAAAATGGAATAGAAACCCAGTTTGGTTAATATTATATCTTACCAGTCCGATCTATACTGGCTGACATGTATTGTACCACTCAAAGTAGCAGTAGAATACCCATAAAAAATCAGTAAAAAATGGATGAATCCCTATCAATACAAAATACATTTTGAAGTTAGAATTTTAAGATAAAATAAAATCATTATTTAAAATAAGAATTAGAATTGAAAATATTATTATTAAGAAAGTTAAAAAATTAGATCTAAAGATGCTGTTATTGAAGAAAACAAAAACTGTCGGAAGTTAAAATGTCAATTCTTTAATGCGCAACTGCATGTTGATAAAATTATTTGAATTAAGATTGTTTATATATATTAAGTATGCTGCTTTTTTTTAATTTATAATTTAAGAGTTTGATCCATTTAATATATTTCTACTTTAAAACTTTAAACATGATTGATATTGCTTGGTGTTTGTACGGGAAAATTTTTTTTTGATATTAATATGAGTTTTCAAGTGAAGAAGTAGTATCTTTAAAATAGCATTCCCGCTACTATTTTACTTATATATGTGGGTCTATATAATTTGATATACATAAATCATAAATTAGTGAGAAATTCAAAACTGTACAGTAGAATTTACTAATAGAAGGATGCATAACCAAGAAGCTAAAACCAATATGATGTGTGGTGTTTATTACATTGGTTGACCCATCTATTGGGAATGCATGAATGTCCTCTCGGAGTGAATTTGCTAAAACAATTTTGACTCTGTATACAAATACCTATACTCATCACTCAGAAGCTGCTAATGCTTGAATGTCCTATTGGGAATGAATTTACTAAAACAATTTTGAGTCTGTATGCAAATACCAATACGTATCACTAAGAAGCTAAAACTGAGATGGTGTATCCTATCTATTACGTTGGGTATTTATTACATTCATTGAACCGTCTCTTCTGAATGCATGAATTTCTTCTTGCGGATGAATTTGCTTAAACAATTTTGACTAATTGCATCAGTGAGAAGCTAAAACCGAGATGGTGTATAGTATCTATTGCTTGGGTTGAACCCTCCACTCTGTATATAAAAGGAACCTAAAAAGATTGTGGTTCATTTAACTTTGTGCAGGTATTGTCAGGTCGGCAATGCAGTTGCTATTCCAGTTTCTCGAGCTTTAGGATTTGCCTTGGGGATAGCTTTTCAAAAACTGAGAGGGGACGGTCCACTAATTATCCTTCCCCGGAAGTTCTCGCTTTCTACTTATCTTCAGTTAATGCAACTCATTGTTTTGGAAGACTGACTGATTAGGCCTCATTTTCTACTCACCTACCATTCATCTCATTTTTTGTGGTATTAACAGAAGCTACATTTTTGGAACTCTTCCAAGCATTTTCATGTTGATTAAATTACGGTAATAATCGCTGGTGTAGCAGTGAAGTATAAATAAATTCTCTTGATATTCTGTATGTCTGTTGGAAATATGGAACCAGTTGATGGTTTCTTATTGTGGAGTGATTCGAATTCGGGTAAATTTAACAATTGTTGATGCAGTTGACATTGAAATTTTCTTCTAATAGTCAAGTTAATAATAAGATGATATTGTTCATTGGTCAAGTTTCATCGTTGTTGTATTTCTATAAATAATTGTAGAATAATCATATAATATGGAAGTTAATGAGATGATTTGTCCCTGAAGTTTTTCTTGCTATAGCTTTTTAAAATGACTCCTTCATTGTCTCTTTTACAGTAACCATCTGATTCTTCTACTTTCATGAAGTGTCCTCTTTTAGTGTTTCAAATATTTTTTACTGAATTTTTTTTTCTTCCTATATTTGATGGAATTTTATTGAATTATAATGATTTGAACAAAACTAATTTAAACTAAGTTCTTACATTTATGTAAATATTCTTATGTTTTATTTTTGAGATACCTCTCCTGTTACATGAAAGTTTATGCTGTAAAAATGGTTCTCCCGTATTTGCAAAGGCAACATCTGTATCGATGTATATATGTGCATGTGTATACAAACATTGTGTATGTGAAATATTTGTTTATAGTTTGTCCAAACCAAGAACAACCTGCAATTTTAATGGCTTGGGTAACCATTTTAAACCATGGATTAGGCTTGAAAACAAGGTAAGAGATTGGACTTAGCTTCTTTCTTTTTTTGACATTTTCTTTAATTTTTTATTAGTCTTTAAGTTATTTATCCTTATACTAATACAAAAATATATAAAATTATAATATCCCCTACCGCTTACCACGTTGTTTTCTTTACCCAATATTTCACGCTTTTTTCCTTTATTAATTCTGTCTAGTAAGCTCTAGCATTTTCTTTATAAATTAATATGTAATGTAAAGCTATGCATATGTTATATACTAAACGTTTATATCTTCATAAAATATTTTAGACAACTCTAATTAAAATTTGTTGTTACACTAAGATATTTTGAATTTTTTTTTTGGTTTTTGAAAAATGGTATAGCTTTATAGTTTTGTGGGTTGAGATTGGGAATTAATGATTTTTCTTATAAATGTAGATCCATAGGTAATACCGTTAACGTCGGCTTTGCAGTTTTAACTTTATAAATTAATATTTAGAGGATTGTCAATAGAGAACAAGAAGTGTTTTTTTTTTTTTTTTCTTTAACTTCTCTCTCTAATTTTCCTTTTAATTGATGAAATTTTTGACAAGAACACTCTTTTATCTATAACTTTAGGACCCTAATCACTCTTAACTACTCAAGTTTTATATTTAATATAGCTAACCATAAAATTAAAAATTAGACTTTTGGCATCTGTGCATAACTAATCTGTAATTTATGAGATACTACTAAGGTTTTGTTTTAAATTTTATTTGATCACTTTCATTAGATTTACCTTTTATAATAAAATATAATATACAATTATTATTAAATATGTATACCCACTAATATTATCGTAGACTCTCATATTAAGATTATTGTTTCATATTTTTTATTTAGTAATGTAAGTAAAAAAATTTATAACCTCGTGCATATGTTTATATTTTATTTAACTCGAGTTTATGCGATTTGAGTAAGTAGGTTCGGTCATTACCCTATAAGATGGTATATGGTCCATAACAATATAACAGTCTCATACTCCGATAAGATGTTCTAAAGGAGGCACATACGTCCAAGCTACCCATCCATCTAGTAGTATCATAATGTACCGCAATCTGAAGTGCCGATACTGGCGGCTTAGTATGAAGAGGGATATTGCTGAGTACGTCTTCTGATGTCCCATGTGCTAAAGAATTAGGGCCGAATACCAAACGCCCTGTGGACTTTTGCAAGGTCTCCCCATTCCTAAGTGGAAGTGAGAGCATGTCGCTATAGATTTCGTCATAGAATTACCCAAGACCAATGCTAACCGAGATGCCATTCGGATCATTGTGGATTGGCTAATTAAGTCAACCCATTTTCTCGCAACTTGGACCACTAACATAACCGTTAAGCTAGCTCGGTTATTTGTCAAGGAAATTATCTGACTTCATGGTGTCCCTACTTCTGTAATGTTGGACTAGGACCCTTGATTCACATCTCGCTTTAAGGATAGCTTTTAGTAAGTTATCGACTCTAGTTTGAACCTCAGTACTACCGGCCATTCCCAAACCATCGACTAAACTGAACAAACCATTATGACCCTAAAAGACATGTTACGTGCCTATGCTCTGGATTTTGGTAGCAGCTGGGATGAACATTTGTCCCTATGCGAATTTGCTTATAACAACTGTTATCAGTTTAGCACTGGTATGACTCTATTCAAAACCCTCTATGGTAGGTCTTACCGATCTCTAACTCATTGAAACGAGGTTGGGAACAGGTGTTCCTTTGTTCTAGACTATGTCCAAGAAGTTATCGAGAAGGTTGATGTTATCCGGAGGCACCTCTTCACTGCTCAGAATTGTCAGCAAAATTATGCAGACAACCGTAGATGGCCCTTGGAGTTTGCTGTTGATGATTGCGCTTTTATCAAGGCCTTTCTATGCAATGTGGGATTGCGATATGGACATAAAGGAAAGCTAAGCCTTTGTTTCATTGGACCCTTGAAGATTGTTGAACGTACAGGTCCCCTGGCATACTGCCTCACTTTGATCCCCGGGTACACTTACTTACATAATGTCTTCCATGTTTTTATGATCTAGAAACATCTCCGCGATCCCTCGCATGTTATTCCACGCCCAAAAGCACATATCCGTACAGACAAAACTTATGCGACATATCCTATGGAGATCATCAACTGGATGGAAAAGACCCTTCACGACCAGAGGATTCCCATGGTCAGAGTAAGGTGGCAGCACCACATCTCGAAGGAGGTGACATGGGAAAAGGAAAAAAAGATGCAAGATTCATATCCCAACTCGTTTTAAAAGACTCCTCCAAATTTGGAGGACAAAATTTTTATTGAGTGGAGGAAATGTGACACTCCAAAAATTCTTCACATTTAACAAGTATCGAACTCCAATATTTTGGACCTCCGACCATTTAAACTTTGTTAGTAATTTAATTTACCAATAATTCATTTCACAATTATTTAAATAATTTTTATTTATTTTATTTATTTTTTAAAAATTATTTCCAAACTAACATTTTCAGGTGAAAAAGGGCAAAAAAAATCGACAGCGTGGGAAGCTGAGCCTATAACCTACAAGCTCGTAGTTTGACCCGCGATCAGCCTGTGCGGGCGAGCCTGCTCGCACTATACACACCCTACGCGCGATTGTGCATAGCATGGTTCTGCACAATGTGCAACAAGTGTGCACCTGCACATGATACGTAGCCTATGTGCGCATAGTGCTTGGCATAGCCGCCTGCATATTCGCACCACGAGCAGTAGGGCGAGCATAGCGCACTGCTGCGCTCTGATAGCCACAGCCAATAGGACAGGTGCCTTGTCCCGTCAGTGCTTAACTATCTTTTGTTGGTCCTATTTTCTTCCCTTTACTCTATTTTTCCTATTTTTTCCAAACGGCACAAATCCGACCCTTTTTGGCCCCTTATAAAGCCTCCTCCCCTCTTCATTTTCCTTAACATTTTCTTCTTCAATTTAACAAGATTAAAGAGAGAGAAGAGATTTTTAGAGAAAGAAAGAAGCGAGAAAGGAGGAGAGTAGGAGTTTTCGCAAGTTTGTCGAGAAATTTTCCTTCACTTTCAAAAGACAAAGTCGACACGGTTACAGTAAAAGATTCTTACTTTTTTTATCTACATCTCTAAGTGCTCTTTTTAGTTAATTAAATTGGTAGAATTGAAGATTATTGAAATGAATTTCATTTTTGTTTTGGGAGATTTATTTTGATGTATAAAATTCTATTCTTGAAAAGATGATAAAATGATGATTTAAAATATCTATGATTTTACTGCATAAACTCATGCGTTTGTGTTATTCAAACGAGAATTTTGCAAGGCATAAATTTCTACAAAGGTTTATGTTGTTTGAGTACATGTAAAACATGGATTTATTGAGCATGATGTATGAAAGTATGTTGATTGGTAAAATACAAGTAAGTTTGGCCCTTCACTTTGTCTTGGTAATAGCAAATAGGGTTATTCTAGTGGGTCTTGGCTCAAAAAGATGACCTGAAGGTCAAATTCGGGTAAATGAACCTTCGAGCCGAGCAGAGATAAATGAGCCTTTGGGTTGGGTATGTGAAAAATTAGCCTACGGGTCGGATAAGTTACAGAATCCTTGTGGATTCAAAAGTGGTTGCATCGAACATATAGTAGGTATATGAAAAGGATATGACAGTTGTTGTGAGCATGACGTAAACAAGTGAAAATAATGAAAAAATCTGTTTGACGGTTATCTCTGAGGGTTTTTGTTTCTCCCTCCTCTAAAAAAGTGTTGGTGAACCGCTCCTGGTGATGATCAGCGGTCCCTTTGACAAGAGAGAATATGCATTACGTGCATGCAGGGGCACAATGATGAAGTACAGCCGTGGTCACAGTGTAGATGGGGAAATGAAATGAAAATGACACGAGAATGGGTTGGTGATTTACAATGATAGTCAAGGATCCCTTCTACTCTCAGTGGACATATATGGTAATTGCTTCACAAGAATGTCAGTAAAAAATGTAATAAATCTAGAAATGATTTATAATGCTAGTCATGATTTACATGATAGTTCCTTTGTTTACAAAATGTGTTGTTGGTGTTATTGTTTTCCCTAGGATGGTTTGAATGATTGACTTTTCTGTCTATCAAGTATGCTATTAGTTTCTTAGCATGGTTGTATATTTGTCCCATCTGATTTCTTAACAAAGACACGGGTTTTTTGAATGTTTAAATTACTATATCCCGTGACGATTTCCCAAGGTAAGAGGTATAAGAGTTATTGCTTATATTATTTACTTTTAAACCTTAGTCATGTGATTTTAAATATTATTTTCCTTACTGAGTTTATATGGAATTCACCCCTAATCCGTGCTCCCCAGGTGTGGAAAAAGTTGAGAGTTTACTCCATGAGTCGTCCCTCGAAGCTTTACTAGACCATTTACAAACCCTTGGTGATATCTCTATGACATATTTCGAGTGCAATAATTATTCCGTACTCTGATGTAAATTTCTTGTAAGGACTTTATTATGTGTTTTATA